CTGACTCATAGCGACCCCTCCTTGGGTTTCCGAGGCAGTATCACTACGGAAGTAGGATTGCCCAACCTTCCTTCCGAGGAGTGGCTGGTAGGTTTGAACCACCAGCTTTCTGGTTAGCAGTCAAGTGCTTTAGCCACTATGCTACCAGAGCTCCCGATATATATAATTGCATGTATATTTAGAAAATATTTCTAGAAAGATCCTTAAGAAACTGGTAACACTGGTTACCTGTGGGAGGTGGGTGGGTGGGAGGGGGCATTTGCCAGCATACATACTTTTATTCTAAAAATAAATTCTAATCCCACTGGGCAGCCAGCTGTGAGGACCACTGCTGTAAAGGACCACCACCATCCGGTCCGACCATTCTGTCAGCAATAGGGAAATGGGCTCCTTTGCAGATGCCGCAAACTGATCTGATGGCCAGTAGCAAACAATAGTAAATGTGGACAAGGCAGCTTCTGTCATGTGGACTTGGGTGCTTTTGTTGGAAACACTACCTTCGCAGAGTGAGCTCCCAGCTCTGTGCTGAAGTTCTGCAGGAGGAGATGTGGGCAAACCCCCGTCACTGGTTGCAGATAGGCTATTTCTAGGGATTGTGGCAGCCCTGTGAGCCGGCCAGCTGTGCGGTCCTCAAACCATCTTCCATCCACCACCCTTGCCTGGTCAAGTCTCCTCCCACAGCCCACCATCTTGCATCCCTTAGGTGCCCTCACCCTGCTCCCAGTCTGCTTTGGGGCATTTGTCTTCTCAGCAGGGGACTAAGTGACATTAAAAAAGCCCAGCTGCCCTTCGAGTCGATTTGACTCACGGCAGCCCCAGGTGTCTCAGAGCAGAACTGCGTTCTATGCGTCAATGGTCGGTTTCTCAGAAGCAGGTCATCAGGCCTTTTTCTGAGGTGCCTCCGGGTGAACTTGAACCCGCAACCTTTCAGTTAGCAGCCAAGTGCATTAACTGTTGGAAAAAAAACTGGCAGGAAAAAAAAAAAAAAACACTGCCATCGAGTTGATTCTCAGTCATAGCGACCCTCTGGGCAGAGTAGAACTGCCCCATTGGGTTTCCAAGGCTGTAAATCTTTATAGATGCAGACTGCCACGTCTCTTTCACATGGAATGGTTGATGGATTTGCCCTGCCAACCTTCTGGTTAACATTTGAGTATTTTAACCACTGCGCAACTAGGGCTCACTGTGTCACCCTCAGTGAGTGCTGAAGGAAAAAAAGGTGCCAGGAAGAAAAGAATTGACACAAGATGTTGAATTTTCTCATCTTTAGCAACTTTGTTTGGTTAGTACTGCATAACTCACAGCAGATTCCAAGGCACACTTGTCTTGAACATAGCAACATGCTCTAGGCATTACCAGGAACAAGTACAACAGAACCGCAGGCTCCTGGAAAGCTGTCTCTGGTTTCCGGGGAGAGGGACTGCTGTCCCTGTTCTCTGTTGCTTTGTGTCTGAGCTGGCTGGTCCTGTGACTTCAGAGGCCTTGCCTGTCCAGTCGATTCATCCTCCATAATGTGCCATCGCCCTGGACATTCCATGAGCATAACTAACAAAAGGCTACCACGTCCCCACCTCCCACTTAAGTATAACACACGTGATCCAAACATCTCTATCCAGAGAATTTTAAACAAAGCTAATCAAACAGCAATTCTAGTGGCGAGTGATGTATTTGGTTTAAAGAGGCTCATGTCGTACTAATGCAAAATCTGGCCTCTGTTCGTGGGATTATTCAATATAAAACCAAAGGGGTCGTAGTCGTTGACTGGAAACAGGTATAAATAAACATCTCTAGAGGTTGGCATCAGTTTGGAAAGGTCCTTCCTCAAAGCAGACAGTTTGTTTGAGGGGGCTTGGTTTCAAGACAGCATCTGACACAACCAAGAGGTGTGTAAGGCAGTGCCGCCTGGGGCTGCCAGGATGGTGGAAGGTGCTGGCCGTACGTGGTTCAGGTCCCAGGACAGATGCTGGGCAAGGTCACAGGTGCTGCAGGGCTTCCTGTCCTTGCTCTGTGTAGCCGTCATCTCGGTGTGAGTTTGCCCACTGGCCAAAGGACTCCTGGGCGGGCATGGTCCTCTGCACGTTGGCCAAGCGCTTTTTGTCTCGGGAGAAGAAGCTAAACCTTGGGGAAGGGAAAAGAAACACGTGAGATTCTCCCCTTGCTTTGCACTTTCCAGGCTGCAGGCCGGGGACATGAAGCAGCAAATGCAGGAGGGGGCAGATCAACTCAGGCCATGGGAGACAAAATTGGGGTGCAGATCCCAGTCACTCCAAGGAAGCAGTGGGGGGCTGTGCATGTCATTTAGTTACAGCATCTTGTAGGTGACACACTGGAAACATGCGTGCTTGTACGTGATGGGTGATGAGTGTCCCTTCCACCTCAGGCACTACTGAGGATGCCTGCCCCTCACTCGTGGAAACAAGCTTTTGGAAACACAAAGTGTGGACTTCATTAGCTTAATTACAGAACTACAGAATTGTGCGGGAAAATAAATACTTGAAAGCCATGTGGAAGGCAACATAATTCTGATGTAAACAGATGACTGTTTTTAACTATTTATTTACTGTGAATCAGGAAAGTATGTATATAGTACATTAAAGCCAAGGTTCTGAAGATGTCATTGCTTATGATGAAGCTAAAAGTAGCCATTTAAGTTAGAAAAAATGATACAACTAAAAAATACATTAAGAAAAAAGAATATACACAGGGAGCCCCTGACTTACAATGGGGTTCCGTTACTACAACTCCATTATTGTAAGTTGGTCCTGACCTAAGTCAAAGACTTTTCTCCTTTTAAGTTTTCGTTATTATTGCCACAGCCCACTGTTTACTGTTCTGAACAGTAAATCAGAACGTCAAACATCAGCAAGTGAACATCTGAGAATGATAATAACATCAGCAAATTGTGTGCTGCAACACCAAATGCAGTCCAGATTACTACCAAGAAGATGCACCAGAAACCTTTCTTAACTTGAGTACGTTGTTAGGTTGGGGACTCCCCTCTGTATGTGTCTATATATACATATACATGTGGGGGGTGTATCTATCTATATGTTGTTAGGTGCCATTGAGTAAACTCCAACTCATGGCAACCGCACCTGCTCCAGGGGTTCTCAAGGCTGTGCCCTTTTGGAAGACCACCGGGCCATTCTTCCAAGGTGCTTCTGGATGGATTCAGAGACCAACCTTTCTTGTGCCACTCAGGGACTGTGTACCTAGATACCTCTCTGTGTCTGTCTTTGAAATGTTAGTACATGTACTTCATTGAAATCAAACTGTGAATATAGTATGTGAATGCAATTCAGGAAACATCAATGTGGAGTGTCAGAAATGGATTTAATGGTGAGAGCCTTTAGAATTTATCACTCTAACTAGCTCCATGTTGTTTTTGTTGTTGTTATGTGCTGTCCAGTCAGCCCCGACTCATAGTGACCCCTCCTTGGGTTTCAGAGGCAGTATCACTACGGAAGTAGATTGCCCCATCTTCCTTCCGACTAGTGGCTGGTGGGTTTGAACTGCCAGCCTTCTGGTTAGCAGTCAAGTGCCTTAGCCACTACGCTACCAGAGCTCCCAACTAGCTCCATAGCAACAGCTAATTTCAACCGAAGAGGTGTTTTGAAAGTAGCTGTGACTACTGGACAATTGCTCAGAGTAAACAGCCTGATCTCAAAAAAAAAGTTGGAAGTCACAAGCAGAAAGTTTGCAGCGTGGCCCATTTAGATCAAGGTCAGCGTCAAGGCCACCAAGAAGCTAACCCTACCAAAAAACCCCTTGACATCAAGTCAACTCTGATTCACAGTGATCTTATCGCACAGAGTGGAACTGCCCCACAGGCTTGGTTTCCAAAGCTGTACAGTTTTTTGGAAGCAGGTTCCTATATCTTTCTGTCCTAAAGCACCTGGTGGATTCAAACCACTGACCTTGCAGGTGGCAGGTGAGTACTTTAACTGCTGTGCCACCAGGGCTCCTGGACAGAGGTGAGAACCCCATAAACCTGACTTGGGCCACCTTCCCTATTTTCCAAAAGCTCTCTCTACGCTGCTGACTGCTCTTCAGAACTGCTAGGCTCAAAGAAGACATCACAAAGATCTCCTGCTCTTGAATTTTTGTCTCTGGACTTGACAGGAGACACAATAGCCATGTATGTTCTCTGGGGCAGGAAGGGGAATGAAGCCACTGAGAAGTGGAAGCGTCTTTCTGTGGCTCTGTCTGTTCACTTGTTGCTTTCGTGCTGGGACCTACGGAGGTTAGTTCTAATCACATCTGGGTGAAGATGATCTTACTCTGGTTACTGGGTCCTGTACTCACTTCTACAAGGAATAAAGGGTTCCCCCCTCATCTTCATGATGGGTAACCCACGTTTACCTGGGGAAACACTCTGAAGCAACTTAAGGTCTCTGTTTTCTAAGACATACATGTATGCTAGCAGGTGAAGGCGTGATTTCACACGGGGCGATACGTGAGCTCTTCCCATAATGTGGTGGTGCTGGCTGAGTTGATTCCAACTCATGGCAACCCCTTGTGGGCGGAGTACAGCTGCTCCACGCAGTCTGCAAGGCTGTGCCCATTCAGGAGGGGGTCATCAGCCCTTTCCTCCGAGGTGCCTCTGGGTGGGTTCTAGAGACCAACCTCTCAGTCGTTAAGCACTCAACCGTTGGTGCCACCCAGAGACGCCATCCATAATGTCAATCCAGGGAATTAGCGGGCCAGAAATCACATTGCCGTGCTACCTCGTGTCCACAGGACTCAAGTAAGAAGGAGAGCCACTTAGCAGGTCAAACAGTCCCCACCTCTGCTTTTCTTTTTCTTTTAAGCAAGAGCAGGGGGGCTTGCTGGTGATGACTTGGCAAAACAAAGCAGTTTAGAAAGCTGAAAACTGAAAACAGTGTTAGTGGCACTCGGGGGACCAAGGGACGCAGCTTACTGACCCGTCATTCAAAGGCCCGTCTTTACTGGAACACGGACAAGGTGGTTTTAGAAGGGGAACAGAAGAGACAAAGAGAATTATCGGTGACAGAGCTGAGACTCCGGGGTGTCACTCATGTGGATCAAGAGCAGTGATGGGCACATTTGAGATCACGTATTTTTGACAACCGTTTCAAATGGGGACACATGGGGTGATGGCCATGCAGCTGAAGTAGCTAAGAAGACATGCCAGCCTCAGCAGCCATATCCAAGGCACCACTCAAAAGGAAACCAGAGAAACAGTGCCTACAAGGGAGACAAGTCGTCGGACAGGCTGCAGCGTGGGGTCATCTATGATCAATCCAGCTGCCACCATGGGCATTATGGCTGTAAAGATCCTGGTCAGAGAAGTACAGACAGACAGACAGACAGACAGAGGCATGAAAAAGGAACACGCTCCACAGACGGCCCAGCTGGAGGCTGTGTGCGTGAAGCCCACGGAGAGATGTGGCGTGGTGGGGAGAGGAAGGAGTCGCTGATGGCACCCTCACTTGGGGGTCTTCCAGCACGTCTTCCCCAATGCCATGAACTGCAGCCTCTGAGTCCTTTGGGAGCCAGGGAGAACTGGGAGGGAAAGGGAGGCGGGCAGAGTGGGCTAGGCAGGATACGGAGTTCAGCGGAGCGCCTGGGTGCTCTCCGGAGGTGCCTCCTCAGCCGAGGGCCAGGCCAGGCTGGCAGTCCATGCCCAGTAGGGTGGGCAGGAGACAAACGCAGAGCAAGCCACCTTGTTAATCGGAACAGCTGTGATTTTTTTTTTTTCTGAAGGTCGAAGCCAGTATCAGGAGTGGGAGTTGGCATCTTTGCCGAACCTTCTGCATGGCTTCAGTGACAATGACAAGAAGGGACGCCCTTTGCTAAGTGAACTGGCCCAGTCCTCAGCGATCAGGCTACTTACCAGGCAGCTCCCAGTCACACCCACTGGGTAAGTAGCCCACTGGGTATGACTGCTCCTACTCCTACGAGGACTCTTCCTCAGCATAATGGGAACCCCTAAAGGCACAGGTGTTGCACAGGAAGTGGCCCCAGACACGGGACATTTACCTAGAAACACCTGACTTCACTCGGGGCCTGATCAGGGGCCAGGCTGATGCAGGAGGCCTGGGACAACAGGAGGGTTCTGGGCTCGTTCCTCCTTTTTCTTAGCTGGGCTTGCTGCATCAATGCATGGACTGTCCCCTCCCCTCCCATTCCAGAGGGATGGCCACTTCCACTAAGACTGTGTTGTTTTGGCCTAAAGTTTATGTCCTGGATACAGTGTAGCTGGTTTTAACTCCCTTCCTCCCAGTCTTTCTGGAAGACTCAAACCAAGTTCTGATCATGGCATTTCAGGTGGCATAACGGGCAACTGTGGAAGGAGTGATTTCTGGGCAGAAGCCAGGAGGGGTGGCGGGTAGGAGGACGGGGCAGAATGCATTGTCCCCACTCCCGTCAGGCACTTGGGTGGCTGCCCACTGTAAGACCAGCCTTTCCTGTCTGCAAGGCCAGCTGCTCTGAGAGAGGCTGCTCCAGGTTCCTGCTCCGCCCACAGCCCGTCTTCCTGCTCACCCCTCTGCCCCGCTCGGCAGGAACCAGCTGCATGTGTGTGTGACTGCAGTGGAGAGAAAGGTGCACCAGAAAGGGGGCGCTGGTGCCTGGTGGGGACAGGGACGAGGCTGAGGTCACTCAGGCACTCCCTTGTGACCTTCCGGGCAGTGCCAGCCACATTCCCCAGCCGCCAGCTGGACAATCCTAAGCTATTCTTGGATGCCTTCTGGACGTGCTGTTTTCACTGGCTGCAGGGTTTCTGGTCCCCTTGACCAGCTCAGACCAGAAATGAGAGTCTGACATCTCAACCCGTGGTGCACTTGTGAGATAAGGGAACCGGGCAGTCAGCCCACAGCTGGTGGCTTGGGGAGCAAGGGAAGGAAGGGTGGGGGAGGACACGAAGTGCCTAGAGCCACCTCTGGGGGAGTGACTGTGTCTTTGGGTGCCCCCTGCTTGCTAAAGAGGAGTCCTGGAAAAGGTGGGAGCAGTATGCCTGGGGCCTCTGGAATGCTAAGTGCCACCTGGACAAGCCTGGGGGCCACGTGGTAGTCACAAGACACTGGTTCAAATCCCAAGTGGGCCCTTCCTGAGGTTTGATCGACAGTGGATCACTGCCTCCCAGGGCCCCAGCTTCTCATCTGAGGAAGGGGAATAACATTCCAGCTCTGGGCCTCTCACGGGGGCGGGAGGCCACAGCCGTTGAAGTGATCAAACCTCCGTGCTGGTTACAGCTTCAGCTTAACCGCTGGGGGGTGAGGTGGGGAGACAAGGGCATGAGGCTGAGCTGTGAAGCAGCTGCGCACTGTGCGGGGTAGATGACATGGGGAGTCCTACCCACGGGCGAGGACGGAAGGGAGCAGACCGCTCGGTGGGCGAGCGGGGGAGCCATCTCAGGATGCAGTCCCCCCCACCCCGGGGTCTGTCCTGACCCTGGCTGCTTGAGCCCTCTGAGCTCTTCAGGGCTACAGGAAGCTCCCAGTCCGGAGCCCAGCGTCCTGCCTGTGCTGGTGGCTGTGGCTGGGTCGCCCAGTTACACCCAGAAGCTTGCTGCCATCAAGGGATCTCCCCCACCCCGTCTTTCTCTCTCTCTTGCTGCCCCCCACCTCTTTCTGCCCCCCACCCCCTCCTCCTCCCGCCCTTCCCCTCCTCTCTTCCCTCTGTTCCCCCTCTTCTCTCTCCTCCCCCCTTCTGTAGGCCCTGCTCCCCTGTCTCCCCCTCCCCTCTCTGTCCCCACTCCATGCCTCCTCCCACCGGTCTGTGTCCCTTTGTCTCCTCCTTCTCTCTCTTCCCAGTCTCTCCTTCTGGGGTTGCCTGATTCCAGCTACTTCCCTGGGGGCAGAACATGGGGGCTCCATGAACGGAGCCCACAGAGAGGAAACCAAGCAGGGGTGGAGGGGACGAGCCAGCACCCTGATGACAAGGCCTGAAGCTGAGTGACTTCTCTCTGGACTTTTTGTGTTACACAGATAACATCAACAAAAAGTTTTCCCCTTTTTCTTAAGTCATTTTAAGTTGAGTCTCAGTGGCAACTAGAAAATTCCTAGTATATAGTCAAGACAGTGCTGGGGTCTAGAGGAAGTTTTTCTAGTTGCAAGCTTCATCCCTAAGAAACACTGGTCCGTAAGCGAAAGTGGGGGGCACACCCCGTCTCAAATCCAGCAGGGACGGAGGGCCAAGCTCATGAGCAACACTCAGCTGGACAGAGAGCTTGGAAAGGAGCCACGCATCCAGTCACAGTCCAGGGAAAGCCAGCCTTTCCCACGGCCACCAGGCCCCAGATTGGAAGCAAGTCGCCATTTGCTCCAAGAGGACAAGGTCCAGAAGTTACAAGAGGCCCACACTCTGTGTCCCCCCTTCCGCTTACTCCCAGCTAGGAATTCGCCCAGAACGTCCAAGCGCCACTGGGTCTCAACACCCTGGGTCTGCAGAGTTGAAGCAGTCTGATGACACCCCACCTCCCCGCCCTGTACTCTTGACTGGATTTCCAACACGCACCACTGGCGTTCGTGAAGCTCCCCTGGGGTTTGGGGGGAGAACAGAGTCAGAGCCTTTTCCTTAATAAGCCTTGGGTATGACTGGAAGGCCCAAGCCAGGAAAGGTCCTTTCAGAGGAGATTATGAGGCAGCAGGACAACAGTGGGACGTCAGGCTGCTGGTGGAGGGTTCAAGATGTGGGCTGTGGGGCTAGGCTGCCAGGATTGGAACCCCGGGCCTGCTTCTCACTAGCTTACTGCTCCAACTGTGCATGTGACTGGCCTCTGCCTCTGCTTCCTTGACTGTGGAATGAGGACGACAGGGTGACGCTTCAGTGCAAGAATCTATAGAGTACTGCATGGCAGCCTGGCACCGGGAAGGATCTCGGTAGAGAGGTTAGCCATCAGACTAGACCACAGGATTGACCGGGGGCTCTAAAGGGCTTCAGGGTCCACGAGCCTCCTATGACTCTGTGCAGAAGGGGTCTGTCGGCTTTCATCAGCTTCTCAGAACAGTGCGTTGATGTAAAACACCACCAATAGTGGAAAGTCTACTGAGGGTGGGGAATTGCCATCCTCTTTCTTGTGCGTCTCCCAAAAGAATAGGAGCCCTACTGCATACACCACACACCAATAATCGCTGGATGGGTGGGTAGAGGTGGGATGGATGAATCAACACAGAGATGCCCAGATGATGCAGACCCAGGGCCACTCCAGCCACCCCCGGTCCCAGGTTTCAACACCTCAAGATGCACAAACCCCACCCCACCCCTCCCCGCCTCTTTCACCTCAAAGACCCAGAGACGCACGCCACCCGACACACACTTCAGCAAGCTCCTTGACGGACCTCACCCCACCCCCTCCCAGCCTCTTCCACCTCAAAGACCCAGAGACGCACGCACCCGACACACACTTAAGCAAGCTCCTTGACATCAGCCAGCAGGCCCAACCTCCTCCCCACTCTTTCCTGCTCAGGACCCCTAGATAGAACCCAGCCTTCAGGCAAGGAGCTAAACTCAGAATTGGGCCACACGTGCTTTGGTGTGAGGCACGTCTCAGCAAGATGTGGTTAGTGACAAGCCTGACCCAGGGAGCAGTGCTGGGGGAGGTCGTATGACACGTGACCCCCCCCAGACCAGCATCACATTCTAGAACACTTCACTTACAGTCGCTTGATCCCAGACTCCGGCTGGAGGGACGTTTTTGGGTGCATGATGGGTGGAGGCTGGGATATTCGGTTTTCCTCTTCCATTTCTTCACTAGAGAGAGTAGAGAGGCATGAGATAACAGAGTCAAAAATTCTGTAAGAGCTGGAACACTCCAGAAGGTTCCAGTCTGATGGCCTCAGAGGGCATGTACTCTTTTTGCGAAAGCAGAAATGAGGGGATAGTAGCTTCCGTCCAGCAGTCTCTCTGCCTGGCGGCTAGCCTCTTAGCAATGGCGTGGCCACTTCAGAGGAAGAATCCTACCCTGGGGGCCATGGGCACAGGTGCCTGCAATCCCTGTGGCCTACTGCTCAGTGGTGATGAATTTGAGATAAGGGGCCTATGTCTCTGTTTGCATTTTACTTGGAAGATTCCAGAACCACTGGGAATAACTCCATTTCCTGTCCTTGCTCTACGCTTCCTTGTCTTCACACCACTGTGGCTTCTTCCACCTGGAATATGCCTCCCACTCCCCCACATCTCCCACACCTGAATACTACCCTATCCTTTAAGGAAGGCCCAGTTCCAATGCTACCTCCTCCATGAAGCCTTCCTGGTTTCCACCCCACACTTAAGCTGGAAATCATCTCTCCCTTCCTTGAACATCCAGTGTCTGTTAACTGTCTGTTAACTGTAGTGGACCAAGCACACGGGGCTTTCTATGAAGGGGTGTGGTATTTTCTGTGCATCACTTGTCTTCCCTACTAGGCAGGGATCACAGCCGGTACACCTGCCCTTCCTTCCAGCTTTCCATTCAACAGATGTTTATTGTGCTAAGCTCCATTCAAAGTGCTGAGAACAAAGATGAAAACAAGACAAATAAGGTTTCTGGTCTCTTGTTGCTTTCAGCCTGGCAAGGAGACAGACCCCAAAGCAGACACATTTGTTACAGGGTGAACTCTGTCTCCCAAAGAGATACGGTGCAGTTCCAACCCTTGGACCTGGGAAGGTAACCCTGTTTGGAAATAGGGGTTTTCCAGCAAATGTTGCAAGTACTGGAGTAGGGTGGTCCTAACCCTAATCTCTTCTGAGCGGTGTCTTATAAAAGAGAACTGCCGCAAAACAGAGCCACACACAGGCGGAAGACTGATGCCATGTGACAATGGAAGCAGATGAGAAGTGAAGGAGAGCCAGCCATTGCCAACAGCCACAGGAAACAAGAGAGCCACAAACCGTGCCCTCTCAAAGCCCTCAGAAGGAATCGACATGACTGACAGCCTGAATTCAGGCTTTCAGCCTCCCTAACTGTGTGATAACGGATTTCTGTTCTTCTCAGCCAGGCACTTTGGGGCATTTAGTATGACAGCCCCAAGAGACTAAAACACACGGATGACCAGCATTCATGTTAATGAGCAGGATAACGAGGGATGGTGAAGACAGCTGTGAAGAAAGTAAAACTGGGGGAAGGGAGGGTGTTGAGACAGGCACACCTGTGGGTGGGTGGTGATAGGCAAGGCCTTTCTGAGGAAGTGGCAGCTGAGCTGAACCCAGAATGACAAGGGGTCAACCATGGGAAGAGCCAAGGAAAACTTGTTCCCAGTAGCAGGAGCGGCAAGCAGAGAGGTCGTGGGGGGAAAGGAGCATGCTGTGTTTTGAGGAACACAGGTAACAGCAGTGTGTACAGAGCTGAGCGAGGACAAGGGAGTGGGGCCCTCTGGGACAGTGTGATGCAGCGGCAGCACCATCTTCTAGAACCTTCTGTGATGATGGACCTGCTCTACATTTCTGCTGTCCCATAGGGTAGCCATGAGCCACTGGTGGTGACTTGGCACTGGAAATGTGGCTAGAGCAACTGAGGAGCTGGACTTTTAAGTTTTACGTCATTTTAATGAACTTCAGTAGCCACGTGGAGCTCCGTGGCTACCATCCTGGGTGGCGCAGTGCTGTTCCCACAGGAGTGGACTGACTGCTGATCAAATGAACAAATACTCAGGGCAGGGCAGCACCACCTTCTCTTACCTACGATTCCAAAATCCAAAAAGCTCTCTCAACTGGAATTCATTTTGGGGCAATTCATGTGGTGGCCAAACCCGACATGAAGCGTCATGAGGCTGATGACAATCTTTACATACTCCATTTTGAATGAATGTTCTCGTTACTCGCTCGGATACGTCAATGTGTTAGATGACGGGGTGCTGGCCCAGCCCCGCTGGCAGGGATGGATAATGCAGTCTCGGTAATGTTCCTGAATAAAAGCTGAAGAGTTGTGAAATGCAAAATGCACCAGGGCCCGAGGGTTCCGGAAAGGGCCAGTAAGCTTGTGTGTAAATGCGTCAGGCCACCAGTCAAACCTGTTGCCACTGAGTCAGTTCTGACTCACGGGGACCACAGGGTGTCGGGGTAGGGCTGTGCCCACAGGGTCTTTCATCAGCTGCTTTTCCAGGCATGGATCACCAGGCCTTTCTTCTTCTGAGTGCCTCTGGGTGGACTCGAACCCCCAACCTCTCAGTTAATAGCTGCATGTGTTCACTACACCCAGGGACAGCAGAGTTCCCACAAAGAATACAGATGAAGCCTTGCTACCAGGACCTCAGTGCCCAGAGACTCCATGCCACCCCGGAACGGAGCTGGCCCTGGAGGGCCCGCTGGGCATGCTCAGGGCCTCTCACCTCTTGTAGTAGGCAAGCTCCTCCTGCAACAAGAACACCTTGGACTTGAGCTCGTTGCGTTCATGCAGCACATCCCGCAGCTCCTGCAGCGTGAACCGGGGGCGGTTCGGGTCCTTCAGCTCCATGGCCAGCCTGTCCGCCTCAGAGACACCCTCCTCTGTACCCGGCTCCGTCTGGAGGAGGGAAAGATGCTGCTAGGCAATGCCCGGCCCCTTCCAGCCCCCGCTCACATTCCAGCAGAGCCCGAGTTTTCCCCGCTGCCTGGTGCTAGCAGCTTTCAGAGAGCACTATTTTAAGCGCTTGCAGGCGGGTGGCCTCAGCTCACGTTCCACGCGGCTCGGTTCCCTCTGGGGATGAAAGTCTGAGGCCACCTGTTCATCTTCCGCCCGCTCAACAGCCAGGCACGTAGTCCCCACACCTGCCCACCCGACTCCGGGCTTTATTCCAAGCCACGTGAAAAGGCATCCGGAGAGAAATGAAACCCCACATCCAACCCACCACCCCATCACCTGCCAACTGCCCCCTTCCATGGTCTCTCATCTCATATTTTTGCTACGAGGCATTGCTAGTTTTCCCAAAGTTGTGGTAGAGTCACAGCCCGGCCCACTTCTCAGTGGCCCCAGCCCCAAGCACTGCCAGGTTCACAGCAGACGCCTGGATGTGCTCAAAGACGGAACGAATGAATGATGTCCAGAGACGAAAGTGACCTGCCCACCTTACATACCTGGGAAGTAACAACACCCTTGCTGGGACTGTGGTTTTTCTGGTCCATGGTACCATGTTTGGCCTGATGGAGGTGGCAGGCCATCTCCAGGGCAAGTGGCTGGCCTAAATCAAGGGCACCTAAACCTCAGTGTGGGTAAGAATCACCCAGGGGCTTGGTGGGTGGGTAGATTTCTGAGCCCCACCTTTGGGCAAGGGACTGATAATCTGGACTGATCTGTCCAGATCCCTGCAGGTGGCCCACAGACCTCAACTGGAGGAACAGGTCACAGTGGTGGATCCCAGCATGATAGGCCACCTGCCCCCAGCCAGCCCCAGCCCCGTCCTCCATCCTCTTCAGAGAAGAAACCAAATACACTGCTATTGTGTCCATTCAGACTCCTAGCAACCCTATAGGACAGAGAACTGCCCCATAGGGTTTCAAGGCTGTCAATCTCTATGGAAGTGGACTGCTTCATCTTTCTCCCAGAGAGTAGCTGAGGGGTTCAAACTGACCTTTTAGCTAGCAGCCAAGAGCTTAACCGCTACACCCCCAGAGCTCATATTTTGCTTTCATTGTGGTAAAATGCACATGACATAGTATGTACTATTATATAAAGTTAATAGTACCATTTAAAGTTAATAGTTCTGTGGTATCACCATCTAGTTCAAGATTATCTTCATCACCCTAAAAGGAAACCTGTACTCATAGCAGTCACCCCCTATTTCTCTTCCCTCCCTTGGCCCCTGCAACCACTAATCTACTTTCTGTCTGTGGATTTTCCTATTCTGGACATTTCATATAAAAGGAACCCGACACTGTGGCCTTTTGATTGGCTTCTATCACTGGGCATCACGTTGTCAGGGTTCATCCGCATTGCAGCAAACCTCAGAACGTTATTCCCTCTATGGCCAAATAATGTTTCATTGTGTGGATGCCCCACTTTTTGTCGATCCATTCATCTGCTGATGAACATCTGGGTTGCTTCCACTTTTTGGCTATTGTGAATAATGCTTCTATGAACATTCATGTTCAAGTTTTTGTGTGGACACATTGCTTTCAGCTCTCTCGGGTGGAAATGCCGGGTCACATGCTAGCTGTATTTAACTTACGGAGGACTTTCCAGACTGTCTCCACAGCGGCTGCTCCATTTTACATTCCCACCAGCAACGGATGAGGGCTCAACTTTCTCTGCTTCCTCACCAACATTTCCTATTTTTCCATTTGTTTGATGATAGTGAGGCAGCTTTTGCAACTGTGCCAGCCTGGCTAGCCAACTCACAATGACCCAAACCTCAGGCTCACACACTCCTTCCAGCCCCTGTCTCCACAAAACGCAGGCCCTGCCACTCAGTGGGGGCAGGCCTCTCACCTCTGTCTCTGCAGGTGCCATCTGGGAGGGGAAGGGGTCATGCCCAAACCCCTCCTTCCCAAGGGGCCTTTGCCTGTATCCTCTCTCGAGCTTGCTCTAGTTTCCCTATCTGGCCCATGACAACCCAAGAATGTTTCTAAGGGCCCTTTCTACCCAGACATTCCATGAGTCCTAGGAACACATGCTTTCTCAGCCAGTCAGTCTGTTGCCCGGCCGCAGACGGTCTGCTTCTCCCCGGCAGGTTTTAATCTCCCAGCACTCAAGGGCTGCCTTGGTGCACTGTCCTGATATCCATGAGGCACCAGTGAAAGTTCTGTGATGGAGTGGAAGGAGCGGACAAGAGCTCAGGACCCCAGTAAGTCTGGAATAAAGAAGAGAGAAAAAAAAAAAAAAAACAACCAACCACTGCCACTGAGTCGATTCTCACAGTGACCCTATAGGACAGAGTAGAACTGCCTCATAGAGTTTCCAAAGCTGAAAATCTTTATGGAAGCAGATTGCTTCATCTTTTTCCCACAGAGGGGCTGGTGGGTTCAAACCACTGACCTTTCGGTTAGCAGATGAAGGCTTTTTCCACTATGCCACCAGAGCTCCTTAGGAATACAGAAAAGGGAGATTGAAATATAGAACCCACTGCCCCCCCCAAAAAAAGGGGCCCAGGGAGCAGAAAGGGCACCAGTCTAGAGGGCCCTGAGGCCAGGCTGGGGAGCGTTCCAGAAGACACACATCCACACATCCTGGGAGAGCCTGGAACAGGCTGTTCCAGAAAAGGACACTTGCAAGGAGACACCACACCCCAGGGCAGGTCGGGTAACAGTAGAGCCATCAACAGGCATGGGTGGGGACGCTAGCTGACTGTGCCCAGCCGCAGGGTTGGGGGCCAAAAGGGGACAGTGGGCAGCAGGGGTCCTCACTACACCCATAAAATGAACCCTGCCTCACCTCACCCGAGCCACCTGGGCAACACTGGGGAGGGGGAGATGTCTGAGGATTGAGTTTCCCAAGAAGGCGTCCTGGATGTCTGCTAGTACCACATCCTCAGGAAGGGTACATCCCTAGGTGGGCACATCCTAGGAGACACACATTCCGTGTCCAACTGTCCCTCTGCAAGGCCTGTGGGCTACTCGTTGGACTCCCGATAGCCATCGACTCAGGCAGTGTCCTCCACCTACAACCAGCCAGAGCAAGTGCCTGGTGAACAGCAGGTGCTCAGGAAACCCAGTTCCCTTCTCTTCCCCTGCCACAGGGCATCATGGCATTTACTTAACATTTATTGATCACCTACTTTCTTCCGGATGCTGAGTTCTCAGCTGCGGGTTAACACTAGAAGAGAATGAGACCAGGCGGGGAGGGGAAGGGGGACGACACACACAAATAGAAACTTGCAGTGTGACACAGTAAGAGACGCCAGAAGTCAAATGCTAACTGGGGAGGATCAGAGAAGATGTTATTGCAGATGTGGCTTCTGTGCTGGGGGTTTTGACGAATGTGTAAGAGTTTGCTAAGAACCCTGGGAACCAATGGTATGGAACAGAGGTTGCAAACTGGGAGCCCTCGGACCACACCCAGTCTTCACCTCACATTCTGCTTAGCCTTCACTGTGTTCTAAAACTCTGTAATTAGCTGCCAAATGTTTTCAATTGGATTTCACAATAAAGTCTGAGTTTTGGGCTTCATTTTGAAGAAAAACGTAGATCTGGCCACGCTGGGCCCACACTCGCTAGTGGCAACACCAGGATGGAGCCGAGTAAGCGCTGCTCCTTTTGTCGGGCTCTTTGCCCTGCTGTTGTGCTCTTCCACGCGTCCTCTTTGGACCTCCCTCTCATTTCCCCATCTAGCTGGGACAACCCAAGAATGTTTCTGGCCCTTCCTGGCCAGCTATCCCGTGATTCCCATGAACACATGCTTTCTCGGCAGCAGACGGTCTGCTGTCGCCAGCAGGCTGTAATCACTCGGCTTCAAGAGCTGCCGTGGACACCGAGTTCTTTCCCACAGGGTGGGGATGGCTCAGCTACCACGGAGCAGACTAACTCCTGAGGCCCTCACGCGTGTCACAGCAGAGCCGGGCTCCACAGGTTTTCACTGGCTGACTTTCTGGTAGAATGCCAGGCCTTTCTTCTAGGGCACTCCAGCCTTCCAGTTAGCGGCTGACCGTGTTAACTCTGGCAACGTCCAGGGACTCCAGTGTGTGCCCTGCCCTTTAGAGCTTGGGGAATTCCCACCCAGGTCTGCAAAAGCCCTGACTCCTGGGACTGTCGCCTGACAGCGCTGGAGTCGGGACCAGCCTGGAGCTCTAGCGCTTCCGCAGGCCACAGGCAGTGCCCAGTGCGCGAGCAGCCCAGGACTGGCCTGTCCAGACCGAGGGAGGCCACAAAGGCTTTTCCCAAGATGGTAATCGGGCCCATCAGCAGCTGGTGTCTAGACTTACTCCACCAGGGACACAGGTGGCTCAGGTCATCCTGGATAAGCCAGGGCCTCCCACGGGCCCTTCATGGGTCCTGGTGGCTCTTTAGGCCCAACTTGGCAGAAGGAACTTGAGCCCTGCTGCCCCAAGGGAGGTCCAGAGATCAGTGACAAGCAGTAGAGCCTGTCCAGAGGCCCTGACAGGGGCAGCGCCCTCTCTCAGGGCCCAGCATCAGAGGCCTGGCCTCCAGCAAGGCTCCCCACTGCCTTGGGGCATCAGGGCCACTTCCTGTGGCCCCACAGTCCTTGACTATACTTTTGCACAGCCCCTGGCCCAGCAAAGAGATGCAACTGGGAGTGCTCGGGTCACCCTTGGACTCTCCAAGCTTTAAGAAACAGCCGCCATGGCGCTGACCCCAACTCATGGCAACCTCGTGTGCATCAGAGCAGAACTGCGCCCCAGAGGGTTTTCAGTGGCTGGTTATTTGCAAGCAGATCTCCCGGCCTTGCTTCTTAAGTGCCTCAGGGTGGACCTGAACCTCCGACCTTTCAGTTAGCAGCTGAGCACATGAATTACTATAGATTCAGCTCATAGACCTTGCTTCACCGTCAGCCATCAGAGCTGTTTCCCCCCTGTACTTGAAGCCCTTTTTAAAAAGGCCCAACATAATCCCAGAACACGTACCACAGAGAAA